GTAAAAGTAGCAGAACAGTTTAAGGTGTATGGGGTCGGTAGACTTTGTAAATGAAAGTAATACGCTCTGGCCTTGGCCTCCAGGGCCCTGAGCATGGCGTGCTCATTTATCCTTAGCAATGTGGGTGTAAAACTCTGCTCCTCTGACTCAAATCAAAGCCAGTCGCAGCGATTCTGTGGAGACCATCCAGGATGTAACTCAGCCATGCTAAGTACCATAAAATTGTGATACTATTCTTCATTGTTTGTAACTTGGAAGCCTGTAGAGGCCTAGCTTGGAGCAGTCCATTTTATTAAGCTCCATCCAAACACAGTGAGATAGTTTTCTTCCGAAGAATTCGTATCCTCAAAGTGCAAGCCCAGTTTGTGTTCTTGTATCCATGCAACCTTGTTGCTCCTACAACATTACACATTTGTCCTGTGAGATTCCCTCCCTAATAATAAAACTCACGAGAACGATACACACATCCGCGGCTCCGTGCACACCAGAGGCCGCAGGATCCAGCTTCCCCCATAGGACACGGGAGATACGATGACTGCTGCAGTGGGATAGCTAATTTATTGTGAACTGCAGGTGTTTGTAACGGCTGTGAAGTTTCCTAATTGAATTTCTGACCCTTTTTGTTGCAGAAACCCAGTTCATAGGGAGAAAGAAGAAGAGCAAACAGAAGGATTGTTTTTCTTCGTTTTTCTTTTCTTTTTCAGAACGTCTAGCGTAGAGTTATGCACCTTTTTCTTCTCACTTTCTTACATCTTCTGGAAACATGGCAGCCCGGTCGTCCAGGAGCCCATGAGGCAGCAGTGGCCAGAGCAGAGCAGACAGCCCCCGTCGGGGCATCCCTTGCCCAGCCGAACGTCCCAGGGAGTTCAGTGCTCCGCGACTGCTTAATCTCAATACTTTGTGCTTATGCGGTTTCTCACTCAAAGCCAATAAAGCTCCTTTATAGCCACTCGGCATGTCACTCATTGGAAAGGCAGAGAGGACACGGTGACGGGAAGTAACTCGCCGTGTGACTTTGGGCACGCTGCGGATGGGGAGCTGGGAGCAACCACTGCCAAAGCCCCCTCTGATCTCCCAGCCACCATCTCCGTTTCTCAGGGCACGTTTTTAGCGTTGTCCAGCTGTATCTCGGGTCCAGCGGACACTCCTAGAAGCCCAGAGGACGCATTCGCTGCGTTTACACCTCAACTGAATTTCTTCTTTCTTGCAAAAAGTGAAATGCGGAACCATCTTCCCCGTCTGATTGAATGTAGCCCTTTTTTAAACCTTTAAACAGTGTTTTGTGACGCTGTACCCAGCCATCCAGATAGAGACACCATTCTTTACTGGGAAACAGTGCGAAATGCTGCGTTAACCCCAGCCGCGGGGAATGGCCCTTTAAGCATTGTCTGTTTAACTGTAGCACGATCTCTCCTGCACTCCAGCGCTTTCCATAAACAGCAAGTCATCCTGGAAGGGGAGGGAGAGGATGATAAATAATCCTGTTATTCATGCGACTGCGTTCTTTCATGAAACTGGGAAAAGGCAAAATAAAGTGGAGACTGTGAGGCCGAGAAAGAAACTCAAGGGAGTGGGTTGTGTTGCTGCAGTTATTCTGGGCTAGAAGAAAATCTGAGAAGAGAAAGGTGAGCGGAAAAGGTTCAAAACACCGAGAAGGCAGCCGAGAGACGAGGGATAGAAGAACAGCTTTCTCGGCATCTTTGTGTCTCGACTAACTCAAGGCAGGAAACCAGGGGAAAAACAACCTCACGTCTTCTCCCATGGCGCTGCCGCTCGCGGGCAACCTCTGGCAGTACAGGCTGGTAGCACCCGACATCATCGCAGCTGCCTGCTCCCTGGGCAGGAGCCAGAGTCCCCGTCCCCGCGCCGCCTCGGGAAGCGACCCGGCCACACACTGCCCCGTGCTGCCGCCGAACGGCCGGGGACCAGCCCGGCCCTTGGTTGGCAAGCACCTTCGGGCGAGAGCATCTCGTGCCTGGCGAGCGCGTCAGCACCTCTACGGCTTCAGCAACGACACAAACGCCTTTCAGCGGAGTGACGTTTGGGGACTGGGGCGAGGCGAGGCACGTTGCTGTAGTCTCCGAAAAGTGCCTCTTTCCCCTATAGCTTCATGCCATCAGAGCAGTTCCTGCAGGCTTATAGGAGCTTAAGGCGGTGTAAACAAGGCGGCCCTGGAGCCTAGGTGCTGGGGAGAGGGAGCATTCCTCTCCGTGTCCTAGATACTTCAGATGGGAAAAAAAGGGAACATTTAAGACGTCAGCCTCTCTGCTAGTGTAAATGGGACCAGCTCCATTTAACTCCAGTTCGGCGTCTCTGTGACACCGTCACTGCGTGAAATGCTCCCGTTAAGGCAAATGGGAATTACACATGGTGTGATGAGAAAGCAATAGGTACCTCTGTAAATACTGCAAAATCACATGAGCAGCATGTATCTTTCCTGAGACACCCTGCCAAACTAGCAGGTGGTTTTTACATCAGGCCTTATATTAACACACTCCTACGTATGTCTGGCTGCATCTGCTGCATTAATGATCGTTGGGTGCATAATGGCTGGGTTAGTTTGTGAAGTTAAATACCACGGGCAACAGCCCAGCCGCGATGCCTACTAACATTAAACCGCTCGCGCTGTTTGTGTTACGGGTTTTTATTATCTCCCCGTCCTTCTCTATGAGTTTTTCTTTCTTCCCTTCTCTCCTTGCGTTTTTCCCTTGTCCCTGCCCTTTCTTTTCCCTGTCCGGGCTTGCCAGATCTCCCCCGCCCCTTCGCTTTCTCCCACTTTCTCCGCAGCTTTCCTGTCTCTTTCCATCTTCTGTGGAGGCCAGAGAAGAGGACCGCCGCATGGGAGCCGTGCGGGGGCCAGATCCTGCCGTTCTAACTCCAACCGCTCGTAGTGGCTACTGTGGAAGTGGAAAAGGCCAGATTAGGGATTGATGCCATTTGAAAAACCTCCTCCACTTTTACTGTAAAAGCAGACGTCAAGTGCAGCTGGTGGAAGTGTTGTCTGAGTTCAAAGCCCCTGGGAAAACATGTGCCCTGTGCCCTTAACAACACCCTGGGTAAAGCCTGGGTTTTACTGAAGTCAGCGATAAAACTTTTTGGGGAATTAGTCTTCTACTGCAGTTACCAAAGACTTTTGAAATATTCTGTGGCCAGGCGTGCAAGCCATTCAGAAACCGGGAAAGGCCGAATCTGAGTTCGGCTATCGTAGGCTTCTACCAAAAGCCCCTATGTTCGTAGGCCGCTAATGAAGCTGGGCAGAAATTCCCAAAGGTGCGCAAGAGGTGTGTGTGCTCAACTGCCGTTGAAATGGGGGGGGACATTACTTAATGAGAAGGATTTCAAAACTACCCCTCTATCCACCTTTGTTTATAACTGAGATGTAAAAATTCAAATATCCGTGCTAGTGTGGTATCTGTTTCCATTGCCCATGCTTTTAGTCTTGGGCTTGCTGTCCTGGTCCTTCATGGAGGTCTCCCTTTCGGTCCCAGGCTGCCTTGGCCGAAGGTTTGGTTTCCTGCCATACTTGAGTGTGTATGCACACACTCAAATACAGCAGCTGGTGGGTCTTATTCACGGCTTAATCACTTCCCTCTGGAGGTGTGCGGTGTCTGTGTGGTCTTACTCAAGCCTGGCGTTCTGAGGGATGCAGAGGCAGGGTGCAAGCACAGCCCAGATTCAGCCCAGCACTGAAGAGCAGGACTAACCTCAAGCGCGGAGTAGTCTGTTGACTTCATCAGGATGGGCCTGCTTCTTTCCTCAGCGTGAAGCAAGCGTTTCAACTCTTGGAGCGTGTGTTACCCCACCCTTTCCATCTCATGGTGATCTCAGCATCACGTTGCTAGCAGCCTGCTGGGTTCCCACACCTCTCAGCTGACTTTCCCCAGGCACTCTCTGATCTCATAACCACATCTTCCCCAGCAGGTCGCTGTATGGCCCAGTCCCACCCTTGAAAGGGTTGGCTGTATCACTGCTGCTTTCCTGTCCATCTGGAATTGCCTCCGACGCCCCAGAGCCATCTACCCCCATAAATACCATCAGAAAACTTGGGCTGGGAGGGACTTTCTGCATTGCGTCTTGCGTTTCTTTGCTTCGTGGTTGCGTAACTCAAACTGGCTGTCGATTTAATTTGAAATGCCATTACGCCAGAACAAGGCCTTGGCATTTGCAGCATTTGAGAAAGATAAAATAGCGATAGGGAGCCAGATGGCTCAAGAGACTGGGAAGCATCTATGGAGCCTTTAACTTCTACGTCACTGCTTCGAAATGCAGCTCTGACCTGCAGTGAACTTCGTGGTCTCAGTCCAATTTCTAGCGTACGTATGGTCATGCCAGAAAAACTTCCCCTGTAAAACATTGCCTGCTTTGGCTGGGAGACGCAAAGAGGTATGTGGTGGTCTCCTCAAAGAGAGGGCAGTCCCACCAGCTGCACAGGAATGGCTTGTCCCAGTGGCACTCGCTGTGCTTGTGCACGGGTTGTGGCCAAGGAAATGCAGTTTGCAGCACTGCCCGCCTGGCCAGCTTCCACAGGGAACACGTTTCCTTCTCTCCCAAATTAACTTTCAAGCCATTTTGAAAATATCCGCGTAGCTAAGTCTCCTGAAGATTGTAACTCTGCATTCCCAGAGCTGTGACTTCGACCCCGCATGTACCGGCCTCGTGAAAGGCTCCTCGAGCCGTGGGAAGCTTTGCCGAAGCATGGTAGAAAGCATAAGAAGCAAATGAGAAGTCTGTGTCTGGTGTGTCCCGAGGATAAAAACAGTATGAGAACAAAACCTGGCCATGCACATGGGAGCCAAGAAACCATACTCGACTCAGTTACAATTTCTTGTGGTCTGGTCTTCCTTCCTTCTGATGGTTGTTTTCTAATTTAGCTATGAATGAAGAAAAAAGAAGCAGGTGCCAGGGAAGAGTGAAATGGCACTGAAGTCATCGCACGTGGAAGAGGAGAAAAGCAACCCAGACCTCCAGGTTTCATTTACCAGAGCCATAACAGCATCAGACTCCTTTCTGCTGAAGGCCTTTACTGCACCTCGCGTCTGCGATCCCGGCTTGGCTCCGGGGATCTGCTTTGTACCATTAGCCATCGTTTGGTTTATATTCGCGTATCAGGCTGTGACCTTGAACTGGCTTCTCCCTTTAAATTCCTTCCACTTGGCTCTGCCCACACTGTCCACAAAGCCTCTCAAAGAAAAGCAACTTGGGAAAAAAAAGAAAAAAAACAAGAAGAAGAAAAAACCCCTTCACATCAAAATGTCCTTCTCTCTCCAGGCATCTCCGCCCGGGTGCGGTTTCCCAACGTCCCCCCACAACCGGGAGGCAGGGGCTGCAGCAGGGGCACCCATGCGGCACCCGCCGGCTGCCCCTTCCCCGGGCTGCCCGGGGCCCGGGAGCCTGCGTGGACGCACCGCGCC